CTCCGGGGCGACTTAAAGATTGGCTATTAAATTCTCTTGCTGCTGTTTTAAATTGGCTTTTAAATGATCTTGTTGTTGTCTTAAGAGATCTACTCGGATATTTAGCTGACCTACCTCTTGTTTAAGTTTTTCTTGAATATGCAGCAAACCATTCATAATTTCAAATGCTTCTTTTTTACGCCTCTCTTCCTTCTCCTCTTCCCGCCTTTTCTTTTCCTCCTCCTTTTTCTTCCTATGCCTTTTCTTTTCTTCCTCTTCTTTCTTTCTATGCCTTTTCTTTTCCACTTTTTGCCTTTTCTTTTCCTCCTCTTCTTCCTTCCTACGCCTTTCCTTTTCCTCTTCCACCTTCAAAAACCATGCTGGTGGGCCTGAAGTATCCATGCTTGCTTCGTACTCAGTGGATCTAGTATTTACCATGAACTTTTACTTTGTATCCCACCGCTGTCACCAATGTTATGCAGGTTTTTGTTATCGCAATTTATTTCAACTCAACTTTAACAACAATTATAGAACTGATAACATTAACATGTAATGTCTCTCATAAAACTGAAAACTGACGTCAGAATCATCCTTATATAGCTTGCTTGACCCTTCTCGAACCTTCTCGAACTTTCGTCTAGAATATTCTTGACGAGAAATGACATGAAATGACCGCAGCATACTGTAGGGCGATGAGTAACATTCCACTTCTTTTTCTATCTGTACGTTTTCTATAATAGCCGCAGGCTACTGCAGGGTGCTGCGTAACTCTTTTCTCTTGTTCTGGTAAATAATATTAAAACAAATATTTGTTTGATTTTAACAATCAAATAAAAACATTTTGCTAAATTGAACTGCTTTTATATACAGTCAATATTTGTCTTGAATATCTGAAGGACATGAGTAATCATCATTTATTTTGAAGAAAGTTTATTTAAATATGTAATTATTTTTTTCGGTTATTTGGGAACTTCTACATTCTTTCTATTTTAACACAATCTCCTATAATTTTTTTATTTCTTCTAGCTGCGTTACAACATTAAAACAATTTGTATTTTTTTTTTTAGTTACTCTGCTCTTGTGCATTTAACATAGAGATCACCTTGTATTCCACAGACATGCTTTTATTTTCAGTCGGTAGACGAACATTTCTATTATCATTTCCTCAAAATATAAATTGTTATCTGTTATCATTCTGTGACTGAGATTTTAAGTAACGGATACTGTGGTGAAAATTACACAATTAAAAAAAAATGCATTTAGTTGGTCATGTGACAGGAATGATTACGATAGATTGACCACAAACATTTTTAGAAGACGAAATAGATCATTTCAAAGTACAATTTTCACCTCATCAAAATATTTGAAGATTATATGTTAATTATGTGTATAGTAATATACAGATCTCTAGATTATAATATAATTATTGGTAAAGATAGAGATTCTGTAGATATCTAGCTAAAAAATTAAAACCACTAATATTGTAAATTATCCGATTGATATTAATAAAGAGGATAAACAGGTACTAAATACCTATGGTTAGTAGTGATGTCAAGTGTTAAATCTACCCTGTGGTAGTGATGTCATCATTTGTCGAACGGAGAGCTAGGTGTCTAAACACAAAAAGTGGCCAATGTAATTTCTAGTTGAATTTTGTTTCTTTATATGAGATTTATTTTAACTTTTTGCATGTAACTACTGTTTTCAATGATTCTGTTTTCTCAATGAATATCTTTTGTATCGTCATCTGAACGGTCACAAAACTTATTTTGTACCAATTCAATGCTCAATCGCTGATTTTGTAGGCTTTCTTGAGTTAAAACAAATCTATTTTAAGTTAAATATTTTCATACCTGCGGTGTGCTGAATCCTCATCTGTTATTACGGATTTAAATTATGACTTGGAAAATGAGAATTGGTATGACATATTAAATAATAGAGAAGGCCGAAGAAAGCGCGTCAGGTGCGAAGCAAAATCAAAGTGATGCTGACAGTTTTCTTTGATGTCCGTGGAATTCTGCATCACGAATACGCACCGGAAGGACAAACAGTGGCAAAGGAGTACTATTAAGATGTTCTCCGGTGACTCCGTGACGCAGTTTGGCGCAAAAGACCAGACATGTGGACGGCGAACAACTGGCACTTGCTTCATGACAACGCCCCTGCACAATTATCTCAATTGATCAACACTTTCTTAGCCAAACATAGATTTACAACCGTTCGCCAACCTCCCTACTCTCCAGACCTGGCTCCTTGCGGCTTCTGGTTGTTTCCAAAATTGAAAACGCCACTGAAAGGATCCCGTTTTGAGAGTAGAGAAGAGATAATGCGGAACGCGACGATGGAGCTGAACACCATTCCAAAGAAGACTTCCAGAGGTATTTCCAGCAGTAAAAGGATCGGTGGGTTAAGTGTGTGCAAGCACAAGACGCCTACTTTGAAGGGGAGTAGGGTCCCAACTCCGTCAGGTATTCGAAATATTTTTTCTGGCCAAAGGTCGGATACTTTTTAGACAGGCCTCGTATAAGCAAACATACAAAAACTGTAAAATATAAAAATATTATAAAGAAGAGGAAGGAATGGATGACATTAGGTCTATCAAAATCTATTAAAAACAAAAATAAACTATATACTTTACATTTAAAATATCCTTAAAACCCTGAATTAGAAGAACAATATACAAATTACAAAAAACACTTTGCAAAATTGATAAAAAAGACAAAATCTGACTACTTTAAAAAATTAGTAGAAAAAAATAAAAATACTACTACAAACTTGTGGAATGCAGTAGTTAATATTCTATGCAACAAGAGAACATCTAAAACAATTATTAAAACTATTAAATTAGAAAATGGCGAAATAATTAATTTAATCAGTACTATAGTAGCTTGGGTGAGCAATATGCTAAAAAAATAAAAAACCAAAAGATTTCACAGAATGAATACAAATCATTGAAATGTTCTTGCACCCATCAAGCGATTACGAAGTAGAGAAAATTATAGATAATTTAAAATGGGTCAAGAACAAATTAGAAGTGAAATTTTAAAACAAATTAAAGCAAATATTTTTACTCCTCTTACACATTTAGTTGATGTAGTTTTAGAATCAGGGTCCTTTCCAGATGTCCTTAAAATTGGCGTACTTAAACCACTTTATAAAGGAGGCGAAAAAGACCAAATGATTAATTACAGACCAATATCTCTAATTTCTAATATATCGAAGATTATTGAAAAAATACTTAAAAATAGAATAATTTTTTTTTTAGAAAAATTTAGAGTGCTTTCTATGAGACAGTATGGTTTTAGATGTGGCAAATCAACAGAAGGCGCAATAAGTGAGTTGACAAACTGTATCTACGACGCTTTGGATGAAAAAAAGCCTACACTTTATATTTTATTGATGTAGCTAAGGCATTTGATACAGTTTGTCATAAAACACTTCTACATAAATTAAAATCATATGGTCTACGAGGAAAAATCTATGATTTATTAAAATCATATCTAACTAACAGGTTTCAGTGTGTTCAATTAGGTAATACTGTAAGTTCCCTAAATTCCATTAGCTATGGTGTACCCCAAGGTACTGTAGTTGCTCCTTTACTCTTTTCTCTCTACATAAATAGCCTTTTAGAACTTAAATTAGAAGATAGAGTGATAAGTTTTGCTGATGATACTGCTATCGTCTTTTGGGATTACTGTGTTTAGTTTTCCAGAGTCGTCACACCATGGTTGGTGCGGGCTAGTGACATTGCGGTTAGTGTGCTAGTAATGGCTTGTTTTATATATTGATCGATGTTTGGCCATTGCGGTCAGTGCCAACAGAATTGAGAATATAACTTTTTGTCAATTATGAAAAATTTAAAGTTTTTTTTATAATCAATATTTTGACATAAAGAGTTATCAGTATAATTTTCTTGTTAAATAAAAGGACAATAAGTATTTTCTTTACGGATATCTCCTTTTTATAACTTTCCTTATTATAAAACTGCTTTTGGTAAGCTTAATTGCTCATACTTGTTTTTCTTTAATTTCAGGTACGCCATCTCATACGTGCATTAATTAAGTATTTTATCTATTTTATTTTACTAATATTTTATTTACGTTTTATTGTTTTTTATCATTTAATACTTATTTCTCTCTAATTTTATTTTATTCTAAATTTTACCTTTTAATTTAAAGTTAATAAATCGTTTATTGAATTAATTTCTAGTTTTCCTAAAATTGATTAAATAACTAAATATTTAAGCCCAAGTTTATAATAGATATTTTTAAATTACATATATCGTCCTGTAGATCGATCATTCTTTTTTTGTTTTTAAATATTCAAATGCTTAAATTTAATTTTAAAACACATTTGGGCCTGAACGATTCTACTTAGCACTTTTCGTAGTCCTATTTAAATAGAGGTGTGTAATCTCTATAACAATATATCAGTGGTCATATTGCGGCAAACGCGCCCTGTTGCCAGATATACGACGTTCAATAGCTTAAATGGATCAGAAATCATTTTTATTAGATCAATAGTTCTAATAATTTTATAAATATTTAACGATCATTCTTGCAACCAGCTATCCGTATATTTTATTATATACTGACAGCTATGCGATGCGCATAATATATTTAACATGAACAGAAATTCGCGCGATGTATGATAAATCCTATAAATTTTTGATTTATATGCACTTATTATAGTGAGGGAACGGGACCCTGCTTTTAATATTTTGAAACAGGCCCCCACGTTGTTTTACTATGCCACCGATTGGCCCCCTTAAATCCGGCATTGGCCACCATGGATTTAAAAAGTAAGTGAACGTAACTAATTTTGATGTTACTAACAATCTAATCAAGTCGCAAGGTCACGGCTTCATCGTGATTCAAGATTTTTATGTTGATCAATACTTGTTATTTGTTTGTTTCATAAATAAACATTGTCAATGCATAAACAATATTTTTTTTTCGATTTTGAAGTATGTAAATAAAATTGACTCAAGCAATTTGGTTTGCAGGCCATGAACTTTTCGATAAGAAATATTCTGTTTTTATAATTATTATGCTCTTTGAGCATTTTTACCAGATTAATCTATGACCAACAAATATGCATAATTAAAATGAGTTACATAGAATTGGAAATACCGTTTTGTAACTATTTCAAAAACCAGATTTCAGTAGCCGTCTTTAATCTGCCGTACAAGAACAAGTGGAGTTGTTGACTTAGTTAATTTACGATAGCCGGTACATTCACCACGGGATTACAATAAGAATGGTGCATCAAAAGTGTTTTGCGGTATTGTTAATAGTTGGTTGTTTTTGTTTTTGCCAAAATGAAGCACGTAAGTTGTTGATTACAAAATAAAATTAGGCGTAGTTCAAACATTTAAAATTATATATTACTTTTTTTAAATTCCTTAGGAAGTCGCCAAATATATTAATTTTTCCCTAAAATGAAAATAAATTTAATGAAATTTTTTATCTCGGGTTGGGAATCTAACCCTCATTAAATATCAGACTTCCAAATTGTTAATTTTGATACAAGATTCGAATCAAAACCAAAATTTTTATATTTTTGAACTACCTATCAGCATTCTCTAAGAAATCATGCTATATACAGGGTGATTCATTAAGGGTTGCGAGTGGCGTTATCTCGGAAATAGGATCTCTTAGAATTTGTGAAAAATCATCTTATAACAAAATTAGCCCTAAAAAATGTATAAAAAGTTTTTAATTCTGTAGTTTCCTCCTAGGTGGTGCAATCTGTCATAAAATATAATTGTGTTTTTAACAAAATAATAATAATAATAATAATAATAATAATAATAATAATAATAATAATAATGTTGTAACCGCCCAACCCCTATACCCCTTTGATTTTTGTTAAAATCTGAAATTTTATTATTTATCTCTCAATTTTCTATACTAGTCAATTAATTGATAATTTATATACCCACGTTGTGATAATAAGTTTGTTTGGGTTTCTATAAAAAAAACTTCATGCAAACCGTCCGAGAACCAGTTGAACATTAAACTGGTCATCGGTCAACTAGTCATCTGGTAGTTCTTAATGTATTTTTGAACAACCCGAACAGACCTAATGTTAATTAAAATGAACCTGAATTCGAAGCAAAATTTGGTGCAATTGGCAAATAAAACCATTCAAAATTTATATTATTTAATGCCTTTTATTTTTTATACTTTAAAATTAAACGTAATATTTTGCAAATTATATTACAATAGGTTATTTACTGAGATTTTACTTAAGTCCAACTCAAACGCGGACCACGTTCATTTGCTATTAAGATACAATATTTTATTTAGCTTGATGACCAACTGAGTTAACAAACAGCGCCAAATATATTTTTAATTTCTAATGGTCTCTCAATCTCCTTTACAATTCATCCTAAGGAGTTACAACAGATTGGCGACGTAGGTAAAGCACTGCTTGGTTATAGATAAAATCAACCTTTCACCAAATAAAAAAAAAGATAGCAAATTAACGTAACTCACCAGACTCCTGAAACAAAAATTCAAACCATGAATTCAGAGGAGTTTAAACAATTTTTGGCCGCAATGCAGGCAAATCAAGAGGCTCTTATCGAACAGCTTTGACAACCTTCATCAGTAAGTCCAGTCTCTACTGCATTTATCTGTCTGTTTGAAAATTTCAACCTCCAAAAAGAGGACTTTCGTATATACAGGGAACATTTTGAAAACTATTTAATAATGAAAAATTAATTCAATAACAAAAAGTTAGCAGTCGAATTACTATTAAATTCTATTGGGTCACTCACATTTTTCACATTATCAGCACTGGTAGGCGCTCAGAAGCCAAGTGAATTTAATTTCAAAACACTTATTATAAGGCTTGAAACCTATTTATGTAAAAAAAAAATGTTCTGGTGTATCAGCATAAATTTTTATCCACCTTTCAACAAGAAAACCAATCAATTGCAGACTGCATTTCTATACTTAAACGTATAACTCTCGATTGCGAATTTATTTCAACATGTAAGTGTAAATCAAATGACGCAGACATTTTTCTACGAGCTCAATTCATTAGAGGCATTAATGAAACATCAATGCCTAAACAACTACTTCAATCGACCGAAAAATCTTTGGATAAATTAGTAGAACAAGCTTTAGCTCTAGTTAGACAGCAAAGAAATTTTGTCCAGCTGCACCTCATCAAACATCAACAAAATCACCCATTCATCAACAAACAGATCAACATCTAGGTCAAAGTCTCATGACAGGAAACGTTCCAAATCATGATCAAAAATCAACTATCAAGAATTAGGTATTGATAAGCATTGTATACGCTGTGGCAAGGACAATCACCTTGCCAGAAATTGCAAAACTGACCCTATAAAACTTTACTGTTTTGCTTGTAGGAAAACAGGACACGTTAAAAAAAATTGCATTTCAACTTTGTTATCTAACAAAAACAGACCAGGTACTTTCACCAACCATATCGATCAAGAAACTGAGTCAGAACAAGATCTTTTTGGAATCAACAAAATTATTATTGACATTTTTTAAAAAGTTTTACGCAACCGTATTCATAGGAAACAAACCAATACAATTTGAAGTAGATTCCGGAGTAGGTTTCACCTTGATACCAGAGTCCATATTTAAACTATTAGACATAAAAATTCCTCTTCAAAAATCAAATATTGTATTTAGATCTTACACCAAAAACATTTTTTATCCAATTGGAGAAGCAAAAGTATTTGTACGGTACCAGAACAAAATTTCCAGAGAATAATTTTATGTCGTCCAAGACAGTTTAAAACCACTATTAGGTCGTGATTGGATTAAACATCTCGACATCAATCTTCAAGATACCGATAGCAACCTTTCTTCTAATACCAACCAACTTGATGCATGAAGTACTGAACTTGATACACCAGAATAGTTGATTAATCAATTTCCATAAATATTTGAAGGAAGAATTATCTTGGTACCCAAGTTCATAGTATACTTGCATCTGCGTTAAAACACCGAACCAGTTTTTTTTAAGGAAAGAAGTGTACCTTACCCTCTTAGAGAAAAAGTTGAAAAAGAATTAGATAGTCTCGAAGCCGCCGAAATTATTTCAAAAGTAGATCATAGCGATAGGGGACCACCTCTAGTTGGTATTCCAAAGGCTGATGGCGGAGTTAGACTTTGCGAAGATTACAAAGTCGGCGTCAACGATAGGCTTGTAGGAGCAAATTATTCAATTCGGAAGATCAAAGACATTCTCAACACCTTAAAGAGTTCAAGTCAGATTTTATAGTGGGAACAAAATTCTGTGGAAATTTGTAACTGTAACAAAAAATTTGGTTTGCTACACTACCAGGTAGAGCTAGATGATGGATATTCATTTAAAAGGGATATAGACCAAATTCGAACTACGATGGTTGCCAAAAAGACAGTCACCTTTTACAAGTGAAACACCTCAGGTTTATGAAAATGAGTCACCCCAATACCATGACCAAGTTCAGCTGTTTTTGCAAACTTGCCAACCACTTGACCCCGGCTATAACGCAACCAGACGATCAAATAGAATCCGTCGCGCAACTCAAAGTTTTCAAATAACTTAGTTAATTATTTTTTATGTTAGAAGTTAGAATTAAATTAGTGTGGAAAACTGTAGTATCCCTTGTTATTGTTGCACGGCAATACGCGAATATACTTATAAAATAATAGTGGTCAAATGTCAATGTTAAAAAAATCTATCAAATATATTTCTAATTTCTAATGGTCTCTCAATCTCCTTTACAATTTATCCTAAAGAGTTACAATAGTTAACTTACTGTGTTAATATTTACATTTTATTTAGCTTGAATATGTCCTAAATACACACAGGATTGTATTTTCTTAAATATTTATTTTGACGAGTATACAGGTGATGACCAACGCAGTTAACGAACAGCGCCAATCCACCAGTTGGGTAACTTACTGTACTAATGTCCATAAATACTTCACGGTTCAAACCTAGTAGAATGAGTGGCTAGAGTGTAGGTGTTCCCCTTGAGCTAACTAACAGTGTCAAATTACCAGTTGATTACCTTACTATTAAATTTAACCATCTAGGTTTTCTTAAATATTTAAATAAAATGATATCTCCAAAATATTCTTATTTATAATTTGTATCGAAATTACCCAAAATCACCTATCAAAAACATATGTTAACTTAACTGCCTTTTCAAATGAATGCCCGAAGGTCATGTGGTACATTCGGTTACATTGATATTTTTAAGCAAATGTCAGGCCTTTGTTCAAACCGAAACCCCAGTGATATCTCATAGAAAATTACATTAACCTTTTCGACTTACTATTGAAAATACAGACCTTTGGTTGGTCTATATTAGACATTATCTACTAATTTAACCTAACGTTTTGACAGCGATAGCGTCGTGGCGGAGAGGGAGGTATTTATTACGGTACTGCATCGAGATGGATACAAAGCAGAAAATACTTAGGTGGTGAGGAATGTGGCAGCGTTCGGGAGATAGATCGTCGAGACGTAAAAAGGTAGGGAAGTAGAGCGGCGGGACGCCGAGCGTCGGGACGTGAAAATCGTTAGGGAGATAGATCGTCGGATAAAACGTCGGGATGTAGAAAAGTTGGGAAGTAGGGCGGCAAGACATTGAGCGTTGGGATGTAAAAGTGTTTGGGAGATAGAAGGTAGGATAGAATCGGCATCGGTTAGGAAGAGCGTCAATTTAGGAAAGGTACTGAATACTGAACTTGAAGTATAACTGAAGTTGTAAGAAAAATTATGTAGCTAAAAGAAAAAACGCATCACAAAAATATTTATTCACATAAATAATGAAACATAATTAAACCAAGATACCTACTACATAACAAAAATTTACGAAACGCAAAAATAAATAAGTCATTTACTTCCTAAGTAAAAGTAAAATTGTAATCCATCTCTTAAAAAGTCTCTAAATATTTTTATGTGCATGATTTGCAATATTACGAATGATCTTAAACTATTCGGAGATGTTTCATGCTTAAAAGTCTACAAAATACACTTATTTAAAGGAAATATGTGGTACGATATCCTGAAAGATAGTGTCATTCTGGGAAAGGATTCAAAACATTGTCATGAAGGTTACGAGAAACCGCCAATTTTCAGCCTGTTGCAATAAGAAATAGGATACGTAAACGTCGCAATAAAAAACTGTTAATAAGGCACAGTGGCGTAACCACGGGGGGTTTTGGGGGTGAGAACCCCCCATGGAGGGTCCTCGCGTCATCATTTCCGCTATAGTATTGGCACTGATTCATATTGACTGTTCGTTTTTGTTCACTTTCTTAATGGAACCCCCCCATAGTTCTCAAAAATCCCTCCCATGAAAAATGGCTGACTACGCCACTGCTAAGACATGTTAGGAAATTGTAATCTTTGCAAGATTAAATTATTCTTCGGTGAAAAGAATATTAAATGATTATTAAATGCATACTTTGTTTTACAACAGGAGTAAAAAGGAACAGATTTTGATTGATTACTAAACTGTTGCAACTGGTTAAAATGACAGTTGGGGTGTTATAAAGGGTTGAAATATTAAAAAACAAAAATTCAAATTTTTAGCAAAAATCAAGCTCTACAAGCGGAAAAAGCACTATGATTTTAAGGATCATCATTCAAGTTAATTTGAGTTTGCATAATTCTAAAACGGGCTATCACAAATATCGCTAGCATTTTTAAATATACTTCTCGTTATTACATTTTCAAACAATTAAAAATATTAACGCTTTCCCTGTATACGGCGATACCAATTTCAAAATTTTGAATAAGCTATAGCTCTAATGATTGAATTTTGTTTAAAAAAAAAAAAAATAACTTTTCAAAAATAAAAATGTCTTACCACAACTATTTTTTTGAGGCTTGGAGACAATTCAAAAACGTGCTGCTGTCAGTAAACTGCTTCCCCATCGATTCTGCCCAAAACGTTTTTTTATTGTTTTCTAAAACAAAATTCAATTTTTAGTGCTACAACAATCCACAGTTTTGAAATTGACACCTTGTCTACAGTGTGAAGCCTACGTTGTTTCCTTTTTTAAACTATATAGAAGTCATAAACAAACAATTTCAAATAATTTTTGTAAAAAATCTAAGAAAGAAGAAACATACATTAATGTATTCCACAATGTTTTTAATACAGTCTTGTTTAATTTAAACAATGTGTAGAACTTGCTTGAAAGGAATAACAATTGATTACAGTTTTCATTGACTTATCTCACCTGATCTGCAATCACTCGCATACCTGTTATATTTTCCTTGATAACATTTAAAATTTGTTTCTCTAAATGCATTTTTCAATTCACCATACTAAACAATTCTCTTTTAAAAAAATACACTACTCAAATTACCGGCGATTGAATTGCAATAGCCCGTACACAAAAAAACAATGATTTATAAGAAAAAACGAAAAAAGAAACGTAAAAATATAAACAACCTTATTGATTAGCTTAACTTTTCATACAAGGCCAGGCCCGGATTTATACTTTTTATTTTCTAGCTATATTATTTTTTAGGTTTTTGAAGTTTTTATTTTACATATTGCTCTTTTCATAACTATTTTGTTTTATACATTGTTATACTACTAACACAGTAGTCTGTGAAGAGCATTATACATTTAGTTCCGTCCGTCATTCCGTAGGTCCGTCCGTCCGTCCGTCCCATGTCTCGTTTTTTGTTCGCAAGATAAGTCAAAAACGAAGAATTATATTAATTTGAAAATTTTAGCAAACATCAAGCTTTATTGGGGGACAGAACAAAAGATTTAAAAAAAATCTGATTAAAAATGGAGAGTTAAGGGGAGTTGAAATTAAAAAAAAAAAGATAAATCAAAAGAAGATTTAGCTTACTTATTCTGAAAAAAATCTGAATAAATTGACCGATTCGGTCCCAATTTGTTTCTTTATAAAACAACTTAATTTTTTGATGTTCCAGTAAAATGGATAACAAAGAACTAAAAACATAATTATTTAATAATTTTTTAATTTTTCGAAGTGGGGAGTCTTTTGGAGGCTCTGGACATATTTGTCCCAATGGGTTTGAAATAGATATACTACTGGTAATTATTATTCTACCATCGCAAAAACTAGGTCCGATGGGGAGTAAAACAGCTTTTGCATAATGGTACATTGCAAGCCTCACGAATTGTTGTGCAGCGATGACACCTTTTTTCTAGTGGGCCCTTTGGTAAGTGATCCTCTATATTCATAAGCCTGGAACTTGATGATGACCTACCATATTGTCTTAGGCGTACCACTTTTACATGCTGTCGACCATAACTTATTCTAGATTCAGCCAGAGGAACTAAATAATCCAAAAACTTTTTTAATATCTCGCCCGTTTAGTTCCTTAAATACGATCCGAGAGTTTACAGCAGCTGTCATCAACAGCCAATAGAAAACTCTTTACCATAATTAACTTGTCTTTAATGAGTAAACCCAAATTTGGTAGATTTTCACAAAACTTTTATTTTAAAAAATAAAAATTAAATTTTTTTTTTTTATTTTTTAAAATAAAAGTTTTGTGAAAATCTACCAAATTTGGTTTTATTCATTCAAGATAAAATGGATTTTCATCAAGTAAAGGCCGAAACAATAAATAACTTGTCTTTCTGTACATATCGTAGAGGCCAACAAATTAATATAAAAGATCAACTCCTCCCATATATTTATTATAAAACTCAATCATCTTCGGACAAGGAATTTGTCTTCGAGTTCCATTTTTGGACTTTCTCGACACCTCACACAATTCATCTGTATGACAATTAGAAAGCACTTTGACATATTTAGTGTCTTTCCATAAAACTGCACATGTTCCATACTGGTTGAACATGATTTAACTAAGATTTAACTCGTTAAGAAGAAGGTATTGCTTTATGATGCTTCTTTCTTTGAGCTTGGACATAGCGATATCGACACTTTGAAAAGTACTTCCATTTCTTGCTGCTAGAAAAGTTTATTTCAAACACGAGAGCACTTCTTACATATAATAAATTTTGTTGCTACCATCTGTCTTTTTTGGGAGACTGAAATATAGTTTCGAAGAAAGAGTGGAAATCTTTTTCTAGGAATGGCTTGTTTTATTGTTGTGTTGCCAAGTGAAGTATTAGTAGACCAATAGTGACGTTGTGTGTGTACTTTATTGTACAACATTATGAAGCAGCACTATCATTATTTAATACTGATCAATTTTCTGTATCAGCTTTTTCTTTTTGTCTTGTAATATTTCTAACTTTTCTTTGGGTTTTTCAGCGATCCATAGAAAAAGGCTCTTAGGAAACAGTTTGAAGAAAATCTTAAGATCTGAAGATGACCTATCAAGTTTTGCCAGAACTGTAGGAGGTTTTTCATTTGGAATACGTAATTTTGAAACAAAATTGTTGTCTTCAACTTTTCGTTATCTAAAATTACTAGCGGCATATTTGTCACTGTTGCTTTGTCATCATTGTCTTCAGAAGCGTCTGATAAAGAAACTTCTGATGTGGAAGGACTTTCTGTGGAATATAAATTTTTATTGTATTATACCAAAAACTCATCACTTGAGGCCCCTGAAGATGACTGAACATACTCTAAACCACTATCAATAAAGGGTTCGTCTTCTATATCAGAAAAATTTTCTGCCAATTCCATCGACTCAATCTTAGACAAAGGTTTATTTCTGAAAAAGAACGCATTTTACTTATAGTAATACTACTGGATAAATACATCCCACATGGTAATACCACTGGGGCCCATTAACGGATTTTATAAAACTTGTCATTTTTAGACTAACTTTACGTACACATACAAATACAAGTAGAATATACGTAAAAAAAAACACTATACAAAAAAGTCAAAACGCGCAGCAGGTGCTCTCCTTAGAGTATATAATTGCACTGGAATCAAATAATCGCGCTGCTATTTTCAGGTGGGGATAATAGAAATAAGGTATGTTACCAGTGAAACACAACGCGGGCTGAATTAATAGCGCAGAATTCTCTTTATGCTTCTGTAAACATCTGGGATATATAAAACCCGTTGGAACTGAAAGGGTAAAGGGTCGTTAAAATGATTTAAAAAATCATAACTCAAAAACAAAAATTGATATCAACTGTATATTTTTAGCAAAAATCAAGCTCTATAAGGAAGTGAAGCCCACTGATTTAAAAAAAAGTGGGGAAGTTAAAAAATCTTAACTCAAAAACGAAACATGATATCAGTACAAAGCAAATTCAACCACATGACATAACATCACTTTCCTAAAACAACATTCAGATCAGTTACTCCTGATTAAAATACCTCATTTCATCGTTTTCGCTTCTACATTTATTTCACAACTTTTTTAACTTTCACATTTTTTATGAAATTAGCTTCTTCTATTTTTTAGAACAAGATTTAAAACGAGGTTCCACCTGCCGTACTCCAAATGGAGATACAGCGACATGTATATCCATATTTGATTGTTCCCGATTCGTAACAACCATTCGTTCTGGATCACCTTCCCAGATCAAATTTATACAAAGTTCCCAATGCGGTTGGGACAACCACGCACTAGTTTGTTGCGGTACTGATATTGACTATAAATCAACAAGATCTCCACCAGTTACTGTAGGAACTCCAGTGGGAAGGACAGTTCGGACAGGATTTAGAAGAAATATCGCTATACCAGATAGGGCCAACTGTGGACGCCAGGTAATCATAAAATGCTATTAAAGAGAAACATGGTATTAAATAACCAATAACTCTTTACTAGGCTTCTTCCTTGTTCTCTTCTTCTCCTTTTCTGAAGTTAAGTAATATTATTGTTATTACTCTTACAAATTGAATCCTTTTCCATTAATATAATTGATTGGATTTTTCCTTGCATTATAAGTAGTAGTAGTAGTAGTAGTAGTTCTCCTTCTTTGTATATTTAATTTTCAACTATTTTAATATTTTGACGTTTGAGAAACTTTAATTTCTTGCTTCTTTCCTCCAAGCACTATGAGTCCTGAACAGTTGGAACAAAAAGATCGGTAAGACAAAAATAATCGTATTGTTGACTAGCTTGTGTGGAAGACTGCTGACTTCATAAGTAAATAAAATAAGTAAGATAATATTTAAAAAAAAAAGGAATAAACATCCAACTCAAAAACCAACATCTCAAGTAGTAATAGTTTAATGTGTAATAACAAATGATGTGAAATTTTTTCATAGACCTCATGTGCCAGCTGATAAGTTCATTAATCCCATTAAATTTAAACAGTTTGATGATTCATTTTGAGACAACTGCTAATTGTTAGCTGAATAAACTTCAAATCAGTAAGGCACCACTATACTGGATTGGGCAGTAAAAAACTGTTTTAAACAGATATGCTATAAGCAATATCACAATAGTTTGCTAAGCATATCTGGTCTTCTTAGGCGACAGTGTCCAGTTGGAAAACCTACGGTTTTTTAACGATTATTTCTTAAGATAGTAAGAGAGCTAAATTTTAAATTAGTTTCTGTAATCTATTATCCTTAATATGCGGTATTTACGAGATGACTAACTTTAATCGAAATGTGTAAATTTATGGGATCATTTTGTCCTTCGAATTACTTTGCCCGAACCTAGTGATTATATTGTAATCTTTTACAATATTATAGTTAACATATAATACGCAAAAAATATTTTTAATGTAAAACGATTGGACATTTTATTTTTTAAAGCATCTTAGTCATTTTATCTTCTAAAGATCCACATTTTAAATGTCCCTGGTGTTTAAGCTCTTCAATTCTGCTCCATCATATTATTACACTGCTTTTTGGTAACTCAATTTATTTCAACTACACTCAACTATGAAACTGATAACATTAACGTGTTACGTCTATCATAAAAATTAAACTCTGACATCAGGATCATCGACTTTTATAGCTCACTCACATACTTTGATTATCAAAGTATGTGAGCTCACTTCAACCTTCTAGAACCATTTGGAACCGTCCAGATGTTTATTGACAAGGGATGACATTTCTAGACTTTTCTATCTTCTTATTTCACTCGTAACTATACTTATGACGACCGCAGCATACTGTAGGGTAATCGGTGACATTACACTCCTTTTTTTATTTTTACGTTTTCTACAACAGCCGCAGGCTACTGCAGGGTAACAATATTATTACAAAATTAAGTCCAGATATATGTTTGATGAAACGATATTTTAGTTTTAAGGTCAAAGTTGTTATTTTAAAGACTGATCTAGTTTATTCTATATGTCTATTTTTTTAGAATTAAATCTTCATTAAAATTATTTTTAACGTTTTTCAGGAGGCGGACGAGGGTTTATCAGGCTTCATATATGGAGGTAAGGAGACTCAACTAGACGAATTCCCTTGGTTGGCAAGTTTGGGATATACCGACCGCTTTGGAAGGAGACAATGGTCTTGCGGAGGTACTCTTATTAACAATAGATATGTACTAACGGCTGGACATTGCGTTATTGGAGAGATCGAACGGAAAATTGGAAAATTGTAAGTCCCATTTACTTTTTTATTTTCTGCATTTGTAAAGTGGAGAAGAGGAGTTTACTTCCTCATGATTTAAACCTCACTAGGCCCATTGTACATTCTGCGGAGGCATAAAGAGATTATCTTAGCCTGGCAGAAGAACTAACTGGTTCGTCAAAAATTCAGCCAGAAGAAAATATGTCACGCTCATACTTTAAAACGTTGGAGAAAATAAATAGTTTAGCGAAATTGGTAAAGAGTTTATTATTTCTTGTAGGCAATTACATGTACCGGGTGTTCCATTAAGAGAGGTAGCCGGCAATATTTCAGAAACTAATAATAGTACAGCTTTAAGGAAAAAATATTTTTAAAAAAAACGGCCAAGATAAATTGCTGGAAATGATTTTCAAGTTTGTAGGGTGGCCGCTAGGGGGCGTAATTGTGACGTCAAAACATAAAAATGTAATTTTCTCAAAAAAATACCAAGTAAAGTATATTGATAAATATTACTATTTTAATCTTCAATATTTTCTGAACAAAAAGCTTCGGGTATAATTTTTGTCAGTTGTGAAATAGAGTGGTGGGGGAAGGTTAAACTTTAATTTTGAAAAATGCTCATAACTCCGGTTTGGCTTTACCGAATTTAGTGAACTTGGTTTCGTTTAAAAGGGCTTTTTTAGCCTCATTTCCATCTTTATAAACTGTGGCTGCTTACAAATTTTACGATTTTTTTCGAAAAATTTAAATAAACGCTATATACCTTTTTACATAGTTAGATAGAGAAAAAAGCCCAATACTTTGGCGAAAACCGCAAAAATATAAATAAAACGTAGAAACGTAACACATTTATTGATCCAGCATTTTTTACTAGGTCCATTTTTAAGGTATTATTCAAATTTATACATTTCTGCAAAACCTAATGCCCAACCATTATTTTTACCTACATATTTTAAATAATCGAACGATATGAGATAATAATCCATAATTACTTATAAGTATATTAATTCATTGAGCGTGTAGGTATATTTGCATATAAAGTAAGCTTTGAAAACAAAAAAAATTTGCAATGTCAAAAAATTAACAATTTTCACGTCAGAACATTATTTTGTTGTATTCGCTGTGTTATTGTATTGTTTTTTTTTTAATGCCTTTGTTGCTTGAAAAGGCGGTTGATATTATCGTTATTTATTTTGAGTGCCTGCAAAATGCGACTATAGCTGCTGCAAGGCTGTACGCGTTGAGATATCCTCAAAGACGCCGGTACGGCAGCAGTATGTTTACTTGTTTAGCAAATCGCTTTCGAATCACAGAAAGTGTCCTTCGCCCCTTACACCGAAGACTGAGGAAAATGTCATCAATTGTTTTAGCGTACGTAGAGTTCAATCCCCCAGCTAATCGTTCCAGTAATTTCGACTATAGACTACAGTATTTCGAATATTGAAAGAACACAGGTAATTATTAAATATGTTATTATTATGATATCCTAATAGTGCTAAGTAATCTTTGTCTTAGGTTACATCCATAATATATTGTGCTGCATCAAGCTTTGACCGTCGCAGACTACGACAGGAGGTTAGACTACTATCATTGGTTGATAAATATGATAGCGGAAGACAGAAACCTTTTAACCCGAATTTTATGGATGGACGAAGCAACCTTTCATAGTGACGGTGGAATAAATATACACAATATGCATTATTCGTCAGCCAGTAATCCCCGTTGGATGCAGGAGGTGCAGCACCAAGGAAGGTGGAGCGTGAACGTTTGGTACGGCATTTTAGGCACTGAAATCATAGGTCCTTTTATTTGGGATGAGCCGCTTAGAGGGAAAATATATTTAAATTTTGTCAGGTTTTAACTTAACGCCCTCTAGCGGCGTTCATAAAACGTAAGCAGCCACAGTTTATAAAGCTAAAAATGAGGCTAAAAACGCCCTTTTAAATGAAACCAAGTTCATTAAATTCGGTAAAGCCAAACCAGAGTTATGAGCATGTTTCCAAATTAAAGTTTAACCTTCCCCCACCACTCTATTTCACAACTATTATTAGTTTCTGAAATATAGCCGGCTACCTCTCTTAATAGAACACCCGCTCCATATCATCAAATGAGTTTAAGTAATAAGTTTACTGAAGGCACTTACCACTTCTAATGTCTATAGATATCCAAGCGTCCCGGTCTGAACGTTGCTTTGTTGTGAATTCGGTGGCCAAGTATCATAGTATACTTTAATAATGAATTCAGCCATAATAATATAAATCACGAATTTGCAAGTTGGCTTGGGGATCAAAAGAGTCAGATCCTTTGTTATATTTCCAAGACCTCTTTATTGATACATTTCTGATGGCGACTATTATAAAAGGGGTTATTGAAAATAAACCATCATATAGATAGCAATAGAAAATTAAATGGTCTTTAACCCCATTTTTTTTACTATAGCCTTTATAAATTTTTATTTGTAATGAAAATATTAACAAAATACAAGATATTTTTTAAATTATTTTTATTACTTAAATTAATGGTTTTATTTTTTGACCTTCGAATAAATAATTGTAAAAATATTCATGATTTTGTGAGAGTTCTGATTTTGATCAAAGGAAATATATTTGACGACATTCAAAACTTTCAACTTAATTTAATTTGGGTCAATATTTGTTAAATATAAAACTCGAATAAGTTATGTAAAATAAAAATATTTACCAATTTGAGAATGGAAAATGTGCTTTATAATCAATATTACCGGATTTAAAACTAGTAAAGAAAATATTGATTTTTCAAACGGGCCGATTTTCTACTTGAAGATTTATTTCTCTTATTTATTATAGTAGAAAATTCTTTAAATAAGAATGATTTATGTTGTTTCATCCTTTATAATATACATGATTTTATTTAAAATGAACCGTAATTGAGAAATTTTAAGACAAGCGCAAAATTAGATTTCAGTTTTTTTTCTATTATTATTTCCTTTGGTAATCAAAATGTGAAAAAATTCTTCTAGTTAAATGTATGTGAAAATGTTTTCTTTAATTTATATTCGAAACACTTTCTATTTGTATTTGATAACTTTACAGAAAGAATTTTGAGTAATCAAATAAATAATTGACAAAAACAGTTTAGTCTGTATTCTTAGTTCCTTGGAATGGTTTATTTTATCGCTAATTTTTAAACAATTTATATTTAAATTCATTTTTAATTTTTTTATAAAAAAAACTATTGTGGTCTTCGCCTTTACTATCAAGGCCTCCATTTATTTTTAATAAAACATTTTTGGTTACTGATTTAGAGTATTTTACTTTCATTTACAGAATAGATTTAGAGCAATTAGTTGCAACATTTATTCTAAAAGATTTTTCAGCATCATAATTTTGAATACTGGAAAATAAATTCTATACAATCTCATACCTCGCGTATTTAAACCAATGATCAGTTAATTTTTGGTTTTGTTACCATGGCAACCCAACACGCACAATTAATGGATGTAAATATTTTTATTATTATTATTTTTTGTAATAGTTTTATTGATAAATATAACAAATTTTATCTAGTATTGCAAAACAACATTTTATTTTATCTAAAATTATTCAAATATTTATACTATATAAATATAAAATTTTGAAACTATTTTCTTTAAGTTATCTTTTCTAATTTGGGAGAACTTGGTTAAATCTCCCAGTAACTTTCTTTTTGCTATCAAAGCTTATCCGCTGAATAATATTTCGTTTTGATTTTCCTCCAGAATTCACTTCTCAATCTGGTTTAATATTATTTTAAATTTGTTAACTTCACAAAGTTTCTATCAATATGCTTATAATATACAAGGTGTTAGTTTGAAAACGAACAGCTTTAATATTGCTTCTACCAGTGAAAATTTGGCAAAACACGTCAATTCACATATCATGAAGGGCAATTGGTTGAGGTATTTGTTGTCATATTACTTACAGCGACCTGACGCCAGGGCACCTACCTCTAAAATTTTATAGGGCAACCGCTATTTCTTTTACCATTTTTGTATTCACTATGTAACATTAGATAAATTGCATTATTATGTTTTATCAAAATTGAAGAATCTAACCTCACAAATGTGTGGAATGTATTTAATATCTAAATTGTAATAATGCAACTTCTTAAAAAGGGTTGCGTTCACCGCCTTACAGCACTTCATGTAAAAATTATTGTTCCAACATATATACTAAAATTCTATTATTTATTTACGGAGTCCAAAATCGTTACTTTGCAAGAACAGCGGCCATATTTAGCGAAAGACACCCGAAAAGAAATGTTGGACAAAGTACATCTGTTAGGTAGTAGCTGAATTTGAGGAAAATTGGTCTGTTTGAAATAAAAAAAGGGTTGTGCGAAGATTGCCCAATGAGGTCGCTCAGATTGAGGTTCTTGGTCAAGTTGCTATGGCTTCCACTTCGACCCTTCGTGAAGTTGCACAACAAACTGGACTGTTGCATGAGTTACTCAGGAAAGTATTGAAGATTTACAAATTTCATACATACAAACTGCTAATCACTCAAGAATTAAGGAATGATGAATGACCTTGACAGAAATTATAACCAATAGAATTATTAATTAGCTCATGGTAATAAAAAATATCTGTTTTAGTGACGAAAGCAGCTTTTGCTTAAATGACAAGGTAAACAAATAAAACTGCCGTTATTATAGCGACTTCAATCAACACATTATTAGAGAGGGGCAGAGAAGCAGTGGATTGGTAGGAGTGGCTACCTAGGTCGCTAGATCTGACACAGCTAGATTTTTTCCTATGGAGTTACTTGAAATCCGTTGTATTTAAAACGCAACCAAAATCAACTGAACAACTTCAACAAAGAATTGTACACAAATGTACAGCTATTTCACCTGAGACTCTCAACACGTCCGGGAACAGTCTTCAATTTTGATAAAAAATAATGCAATTTATCTAAAATTACATATAAAACACAAAAATGGTAAAATAAATAGGGGCTGCCGTTTAAAATTTTAGGTGTAGGTGTCCTGAGTGTTAGTGGGTTGAAAGAAATACATACACCAAATGCCTCAAAAATTGTGGCCCTTAATATGTAAAATGATGTGTTTCGCGAAATTTTCATACTATCATTGGTAGAGACAATAGTAAATGCTGTTCGTTCTCAAATTTACACCCTGTATATTTCTGTTCTTTTTTTAATCTGTCAAATAGTGTTTTTTTAAAATCTCGTCTAGTTCTTACATAGGTGATCAATATTTCAATTTGCGTTATAAGCACACAGACAAGTTTCCCATAAAAGTTACATGTATTTTAAAAATACTTTTGAAATGTTATTATGGAAATGTTATGTTTGTGCCTGCTTAATAAAAAAACACAATGTTTGACCTATTTAATTGAACAAAACATATTTCAATATATACAAATAGTGTCCTTAAATAAATTTCACAAATTTGTAGAAACCAAAATGGATAGAAAGGATATTATTTTCTAAATTCAACACATTTCCAAACAGTTCTCTCAAGATAAGATACTAACCAATGGTAATGGTACTAAGGCAAAAAATCAAGAAATTTATTTATTTAATCTTTTCATGACACAAGTGTTGTGTAATTAACTTACCTATTATTTGAGAAATAAGATGTCAATGTGTCCGAATGAGCGCCCAAAAATTACTTATGCAAATAAATAGTAAGACATTCATTTTTATCTAATACTTTTTATTTTAGATCTGTTGTAAAATTTGGAGAACACAATACAGACACTATTATTGACTGCAATAAAGACTCAAAATGTAATAATAGACCTGTTACTATTGAAGTAGATCAAGTAGAGTATCCACCAAATTATGACGGATTGTCTAACAGTCCATTTGATATAGCACTAGTGAGATTGAAGCAGAAAGTTGATTATACAAGTAAGTATTTACTAGAACCAAAATCACTAAATTTCCTATAATAGGTACCATTATTTCGGGTGACTTGAGACATGATATTGTATAAATAACTATATATATATATTTTTGTAAAAAAGGTATTTATAATATTGGATTGGCGCTATAAAAATAGTGTGCCACCCGTCCTCATGGGTTCATCATGCCACTGATAAATATACACGTTAGTTTGGAAATGTATTTATTAAATTTAATAGTAAATAAAAAAATTATTTTTTTAATTAAACAATTAACAATTAAAAATAAACACTTGACGATAATTATTATACATATTTTATAAACTATTTAATTTTGTAAATGTTTAACATGTCCTCCTCCTTCTTGAATACAAAAATATAAATAAAAGAGGTAGTTTTGCAGGGGCGGCTTAAGAACAGCCCTAGGCACACGGCTGATTTTTATATGCGTTTTTTGTACAATAACTCTCCTGACATACTCTTAGTTTTGTTGATATGATAAGTCCAGGATGGACAAATTGCTCTAGAAATTCAGTTAAAAAATTGTAAATAGCTCGTTAACTAAGAAAGATACAAAGTTCATTTCGCTATAAAAAGAATTTAAAAATGTATAGTTCTTTTTGATTTCAAGATCGGTAAAGCAAGTTTCTTTATGTCAAAATAAATACGGGAGGGTTAAAAGGCACCCAACCCCCAACTTTTTTTTAAGGAGGTCTCTTTAATTTTTTTTTCCTTACAATATTGGGTCTTCAAATCTACAGCACTGGTAAAAAATTCAAAGAAAAAATCACAACAGCAAACTTTTTACAAAAAAAAAAAAAAACGTTTTTTTGAATGGTATTTTAACGCCCTGTAACTTTGTTAGGAGCCAGTTTTTGATATAAGTAAATATGGCCAAATACACTTATTTTTTGGTAATCTATCTGAGGAAGAATTTATGACATACCGTTTTGAAACACCCTGTATAAATATCCACCATATTGCACTTGAAAATTAGTCATGCATTATTTTAATGTTATGTGGTGCATTTTTAGTAATTAAATTAGCTTTCAAATAAGGTGTCATATTTAGTAACATGTTACAGTTTTTTTATCACGATAGAGGGCGCTTAAATTAAAAGTATCGCACTAAACAGTCATATTTCTAAATTCCACATAACATTATATTTTCAATGATGTGCCGTATATGGTACATTACCTATTTAAAGTTAAGGAGTAGGCACAAGGCAGATGTCTGTATTGTAAAAATGTGTTTAATTTGCCTCGTTTAGCATTCTCTTAAAATGTAATGAATAAAACCAAATGACAGGTTGAAACTGTTTTGCTTGGCCCACTCTATATATCAAAAAAGTCTCACTTCTTGGTATTAAACATATAGAGCATATCATTTTTTTTTTTTAAATATATAAAAAAACTTTAACTGAAATAATTGATTCTACGTATCAAGCCTCAAACTCTTGTGTATCTAAATGGTCGAATTGTTTTAAAAATATCGTTTGGAAAAGTTAAATACGTCTTAAATCACTCGGTATGTCGGTAGTTGGTAAATAACTATAGAAGTAATCAGATGAGCTTAAACCTAACGATAATTCTTAAATAATACTCTCACATATTTAAATTTTTTTCTTTTAGATTTCATAAGACCAATTTGTCTGCCTGAACCTAACGAAGCCTCTAGAAACGCAGAAATGATGACCACAGCTGGTTGGGGACGAATCGAAAATGGAACAGCTTCAAAGGTCCTTCTAAAGGTTGAAATTCCATTTGTCGATAAGCGACAATGTAGTAGATTATATTCATCCGCAGGTGTCTTCTTAATAGATTCTCAAATTTGCGCAGGAGGCGAGGGAGGCAAAGATTCGTGTGCAGGTAAAACTCAAAATTTATTTCAGTTGGTTTTATAAGTTTTGGATAATTATTTGCCATTTATTTTGTTTTTAAATCCAGTATGACCAGTTCTAGAACTAGGAAATAACGTAAATATTTTCTTTATTTAATCAGAGAACAATACTTCTCAATAGTTTATGCATTATCAAATTGGAACGTTATTTGTGAGCTCGCAGGTTAAGGAGAGGTGGTAGGGGTTGTACAGATGGATGTTTATTCGCAGTGTCTATAGCTTACGGCTTGTATATTTTTTTCCTAGTCCGTATTTGAAATTCACCAATGAAAAAATTTAAAATATCTAAGGAAAAACGAAAAGTGACATGGCAACGTTACAGGTTTTGTTAGTTTGCGATTAAGAAGAACTTTGACAGTATCAGTATTACTATACAGAGCGAGTGATGTTTAATTTTTATAGTTATCTTGTATTTAAGAAGAATATGTACGGCATATTTCTTTACTCTAGTAATGCAGAGACTCTGGTAAGACAAAAGATTATTGGGCTAGTATTCTCAAGCCGCACGCTAGGAATTCCTATGGGAATATTGGTCGTAGTTTTACTGAAATCAACTAGATTAATTCACAGCGACAATCATATCTATATATTTATCCAAAATGCTACAATTTCTGTATTGGTTAAATTTCCAGGTTCATTTCTTCAAACACAGGATCTGGTGTTTCTTGAAGTTGGTTTACTTCTTCTTCATGGTCACCCTCAAATGACGCCAGCCTGTTTTGATGCACTACTTCGGTTTACCATTTGGGATCTTACTCATACGGTAAATTACATCATACAACAATACCAAAAGTAAGATTCTGCAAAACGATGTTTTGTAACACAGTTGCTATTTCACCAAGAGCTGTCAAAAATTGAGATATTGAAAAGAATATAACAGACGATGTTTCAAATAGTAGGGCCGACAATGACCCTAATGACACACGTACAAATCCCTCCAGAATGGTGATAATAAATGAACAGAATAAAAATTTATCAATTTTTCTCAATATTCTATCAAAACTAGAATCATATTCCTGTCTAGAATCGACAAAGATGTTGTACCTTCAGAGAAATTGGCAAAAAATGGAATTATATCGATTTTATAAAAATGAGTGGTGCAAATAAAAAACAAATCAAGACTAGTATCAATTGCAACCGTCAATGATAGTGTGATACGTGTGTAGGATACAAAACTGGTAATATTGATAAGGCTACATATAAAGAATATCAGGAAAAAAGGAAAAGGAATTTGAAAAAAGAAGAAGGTGTTAAAGTTTTTACGATGGATTTGCAATCAGTTTTATTGAGTCCAAAATCCAATGTTAGTGCTCTTTACTATAATACAAAGTTAATTGTGCATACCTTTACAATTATGGACATTTAATCCTTGGATGGTTACTGCTTTAGCTTGCATGGGGGCCATGCTGGACTAACTGCCAACACATTTGCTACCATTATTTTTGAAAACATATATTATACCTCAAAAAGACTCTTTTGAAAACGTATTGATGGATATATATGGGTTAGCTCCTGGTGAATTAAATGGAGAGAAGTTAGATATAGCCCTTCTAATTTTGTCATGGTCTACAATGTGTTAAAGAGTTTGCCAATCATAGACAGATGCGTTGTATTCTTACTCTGCCCAGTCGACCACGTTTGTGATTACTGACTCAGGGAAGTATGTTGATAGCAGAAGTTTTGTGTTATCTTTAAGGTTAGAAGATTTCATGTCATCCTCTTTGATAAGCGCATCAATACTGCAGTGTAGATCTTTTGAGAAAGCTTTTTGAATCCTTGCTTCAATTCCTTCGCAGTATCATCTCTATGCATGTCTGTTTTTTTCTCAAACGAATTTTTTTGTATTAAAGCATTTCATAGCGTAAGGTGTTCCAGATGGTACATAATAGAAAAGTAATTCTTTGCAATCCACTTCTGAACCTCGCAAAAGCAAGTAAAATTACAATTGGACACAATTTTTGAAAAAAGGGCTATCGAGCGAAACTTAAAAAAAAACAAAATTATAAACGTTTTATCTGACAGAAGAAATGTTTGTGACATCGATCGCATAAATCCGAAATTCTACACGGTGAAGCATTTAGATCATACCTATTTTAAAAACTTTTATGATGTCTGATGTATCAGTTTCATACGTCCAGTCAGAATGACAGGTGATCCAACTGTCACTAAGATCAGAGCACTTCAATATAATCAAAACGGAATTCACTTTAAAATCAGACATACACAGGAATTGGTACGTTTGTCTTATAGATTGACAAACCCGAAAAGCTTTAATATTTAATGGAAACTAAATCTATACTTACGGATTTTTTTATGGAACTTTTATAAATATGCTTCTTCCTTGTTTTTTACTGAATAGTGCTTATTATTTTTATTTATGCTATATTATTTTTAAGTATATTAATTTAAGTTAAAAGAGAAGAAACAGGTAGTTGCTTATCTCCTTAGTACAGCAAATGTATTTTACAATAATGTCCTTACTACCAATTTTTCATAAATAAAACCAACTTAAAATCATAACAATTTTGTTTTTAATCTACTAATAAAGAAATAAATTTATTTCCCAAACTGTTTTTGTTTTATTAGGTTTTACTTTCCGAGTTGTTTTTTGCAACTCCTTAGTTAAGCAAGTTGCATCTTAAACAGACCATAAAAAAAATCAAAAATCTGTAATACGGATGACGTTACGACAATTTCTTACTTATCTTACCCCACTTATTTTTCAGTACTCTACCCAATCTAACAACGCTGTAACCTTTTATTTTGAAACCATATGTAAATAAAAGAAGCTATAAATCTATTCCTAAATTAACTATTTTAAAATAAAATTTAAAAAGAATACTTCTATTTGCAGGTGATAGTGGAGGACCCCTAATGCGACGATCTTCTGCAAACCCTTTGGTGTGGTATCAAGAAGGAATAGTTTCTTTTGGAGCTTTAAAATGTGGCATTAAAGGATTACCTGCAATTTATACCAGAATTGCAGATTTCTTACCTTGGATTCATACTACTGTTAGAGATTAAGTTAAAAAATAGTGTAGATAATTTTTTACCGAATAATTGTTCTCATAGAAAATCGGTTCATGATTAATGTGTTCCACGATACAAAAATTTATTTGTATTTTCACATGCGTAACTAAATAGTTTAAAATCTAAAATAGTGTTCGAATTGTATCATAAGTAAGCAAGTGTTTGATAAAGTCTGACAAATAAAATAAAGCAAATGTCATTTGACTCTTCTTTAATTAAAAATGAGGTGGTTGGTAGCTCAGTGCTAAGAGTTTGAACTTGCGAATCCGAGGATCTGCGGTTCGAATCCCACCATTTGCCGACATTTTTTTAATTAATTATTATATTTAAAAATAATGTTCTGATAAATGGGCAGTATTCCCGACTTCACCATTTACTGTTGGGTTTGAATAGCGTTTTTGCAGAAGTGGCTAGGGAAAACAGCAACAAAGCTTACACAGAACACGCATCAATAAAGAATAATAAATAGTAGTGAGATTAAAACTGTTGTAAACAAATTAAATGATTGATAAAGTTATATGGATTTAGCTTTTCTGTAAAGTTATCAAATAGATTAAAGACGCCCCATCTAATCGTACAGTATTTATAATATGAATTAAAGATGATAATTTTTCACGCATATGTTATTCAAAACACTTTTTATGGGAAGTGCCCTATACACATATTTTGATTACTTTACGGTGCAAGAGAGAGGCCCGACACGCCCAACATAGGGCGCGGCCATTTTGATGCCTTTACCACAGTTTATAGCTAAAGAATCAGTTCGCTCACTCTGCATCGGCACTTTTAATCTCAATGTTCCAGTTTATACACTGCGAAACTCGGATAATACAATATATGACAATCGCCTATAATAAAACAGCAGTCTTCTGCGCATCCTGAATTTGTATCCCTGGAGTGGATCTTATTTTGGAACTTTCAACTGGTCCGAGTGAGCTAACTGATTCTTTAGCAATAAACTGTGACTCCAAAAATAATATTCACTGACACTGACAGCAGCAAGCAAAATATCATGTCCTCTAATGCAAAATAATATTTCTCACCTTATGTAAATAATAATAATAAAAAACACCTATCCGCTATTCTGCATTCAAGTTATACCTGTGACTTATCCCGCCTTTTGAAATATCTCGAGAATGTTTTTAACTCTTAGTTACTGGTGCCAAACTATTCGAACTTTTTCGCTCGTGGTGTAACTTGTACACCATCCTAAATTTAGCTTATTTTTAAACAAAAACGCTATTTATGGGGCGACGATAATTTATTCAAATATTCAAAATAAGTATAGTTTTTGCGAACAAGTTAATAATTTTAAAAATATACAGGGTGTTTCCGAACTTGGCTTCCAAATTTGTAGGGGTGGTAGTTCGCATAATTTGAGAGCGATTGGCAGATTTCATTTTTCTAAAAAAGTTATAATAAATAAAATAGAGCCATTACAAAAAAAATCAAATAGCAGGTTCTACCCTGAGCGCGTAGCGCAGTAGTCCTCAAAAATAGATGCGATTTGCAATTTTGTCGATTCTAAGCGTAGCGCGCTCGAGTGGAGTCACTCCTATCGCTGTGCAGGCCCGTACCTGTTTATAATTTTTAATTAAATTATAATTATTTTTATTTTAAATATTTTGCAAAAAAGAAATCTGCGAATCGGTCTCAAATTATGCGAACTACCACCCCTACAAATTTGGACGTCAAGTTCGGAAACACCCTGTATAGGAACATAATATGAACAAACAAAAAAAAGAATGAACGAAAAACTAAATTAATTTTAAATGCCCTCGAATCTTCTTCTGATTCTTCTCCTTAGACTAAATTATGGTATGTTTCACATTTTATTACAGTTGTAGCATATTCCTTGCAAACAAAATTTTGACACGATGTACACCTCATTATAGTCACTCTATTTTTAGCGCGACCACATAATGCGCAACGATTCCTTATTTTTCGTGGTGGTTCTGCAGTTACGTTTTCATCGGCTTGGTTATACTTAGATAAAAGAAGCTTGATCCTCGCTGGTAAGTTTTTAATTTTGATCTTTCGTCCGCCAAGGTGTTTTTCCATTAGAAGCATGGCCATTGATTTCAAAAAAGTTTTTCGATTTTTTGCCGGGTTATTAGGATGTATTCCAATATATAGAATTTGTGCGTTAACTCCAGATTTGTTTAGCAAATGAAAAAAAAAAATGCACAGGGGCCATTGGTTCGCCGCGAAACTGAGTAATTCCCACAAAGCTGATCGACTGTGTCAATACCTCCTTTAGTCTTATTGTAGAAATGGATTACTTCTGGTTTCAGTGAATTTGGGTTTACTGACGCATCATCGTGGAACATCTGATCTTTCCACTAGACCATGACGACATTGACTGTCGAGATTCCTAGATAGAAATTTGATATGGTAGTTCCGACCAGACGCCGTTTTAGACTTGTTATCAAATCTACAAATACCTCTAAACAGCATCAGTATATATGAGAAATTAATTTAGGCAGGCGCAGACAAAGATATGGGTTTAGTATGCAATAATGCATTTCTCATATAAACCGATGATGTATAGAGGCATTTGTGGCTTAAGAACAATCCTAAAATGGCGTATGACACCCGAACTATCACATCAAATTTCTTTCCATGAATTTCGACAGTCGATTGCAAAATCCCAGGAAAACTCAGTCTGAATATTTCACTGGTTTTAAAATGTGTGAAACATTTTTTACGTAATTATGATTTAAATAGTATTATTTTCTGCCGGAATGATTTGGTATTAGTACATAAATCAGAGAGAACCTGTTTTTTTACTTGCAATTTCAAATTAGTTTTGGTCATATGTTTTATCAAATCGACATAGAATGCTAACTTCCACAGCCATTTGCTGTTTTGTAATACGGTAAGAGGGCGATGATTTTCATTCAAAAAAATTTTGAGCACTGCTCAAAGTTAAAAAAAGGACTTTTCCGTAACTAAGCTAGCATACGGCAGTATGATATGGTAAGTCATTTTCTCCCATCTAATCAATAAATTCGCGTAATTGTCGGTGATTCAGCCCAGTGGATCTGATGAAATTGACAACTGATATGACTGATTTTAGAATTTCAGACCTTTTCCTCACAAGGACTGTCCTGCTATACTAAGCGCAGAAGCGGTAATTAACATTTGCAGTTACCGCTTCTGCGCTTAGTACGGCAGTGTTGATGAATGATAGAATGTCAGACAAATGGTTTGGAACCACCATCATTTTCTACAGCCTTTGGCACAAGTGCAACAACTGACACATCTGACACATCCGTTGATTCATTTAAGGCCAGAGAAAACTACTCAAGATGTACATTTTTGTCAGTCAGTTGAGATGATATATTTTCTGCGATGTCTTGTACCCTCCGAGTTTGCTGACAAACTGACAGTTCTAAATAAATTTACCTTCTCAAGGAACATTTCTTTAGCTACGGCAATTACACAGTCTTTTATCATTCGGCCCCACGAAAGCTGGCACGAGTTGCAGCCTCTTGTTCATATTGACTTTCGTAAACAAAGATGGCTGCGATTTGAATCCGCGCTTCAAAGCTTCAAATTTTACTGTCCACATACTTCCTGTATATTTTTAGTAATTTTGAAAATGTTTCGTTTCATAATGACGTTAAATATTATATTCTTTGAGAACTGCTATGGTTTTATTGCAAATCAAATATAGCGCCTTATTACTGGACTCAATCACGAAATATTAAAAGTTCCACTGATCTTTGAATGTTCTGCATTCGCTGTTTCTTTTCTGCTTCTTTTTCATAGCAGTAAATCACACACAAAAATAACAAGTCAAATCCAAATACTGTTACGTAAGGGCGTTGGTAGGTTGAAAGATGTCTATTACGCATTAATTTATTTCCTTCGCCTTCGCTAGACAGACTGACTCGCGGCCGCACTGCTAGCCTTTTTATACTCCAATTACTACCATCTCGAAACGAGTGGAATACACCAGAACTTTCTCGAACCACTGAAGTTATTCACGAATGTTTAATTGTTACTATTGTGATTTCTAAAGTACTACCAGCGCTATCTGTTAGCGATCAATAGTAATTCATCTAGCAAATTTAGCAAGCATATGCTCGCCCACTGGGTGACTAGTCTAGAAATTATAAGGCTGGAAAGACCTCTAGTCTAGTGATCAGGGCATTTGTCAATGTATTTGTTTTTACCTTTGGGGTTCTGGGGTGGTCCTTATAATTCGTAGGGGGATTTTTGAGATTTGTTTCCGAATTGTCAAATTATTCTACAGCTTATTTCAGATATATCTGTCTTTTTGGATTTTGATTTGCGATCCACGATGTATTAGATTATGAATTTTCGTAATCAATGTTTATTAAAATTATCAAATTAGTAGCGTTATTAGTTTCAAACGGAAAAAGTCCACCTATCTTTGGGCCTGAAAATGAAAAATGAAAATACAGAGAAAATATTATTTATTAGCGGTACCAATAAATCGAATATGTGTTACTTGGACTTTGTTTTCTTTGTAGTTGAATACCATTTCACATTTGGATATAACTATATTTTTTTCTTTTAACATTTATTTAGCGGCAGTTGCTGTAGAGTCATTATAAAAGATTCGTGTCAATTTCTACGATATACCGCATTTATAACTGAGCCTTTGCTATTTGAGGCAGACAATTAATGGCTGTTTAATTAACCAGATTAAAATGTCTGTTAGCCTCTAATTTAGTCAGACGTAAAACCAATTTCCGCCGCTAATTTAGATTAACAAGGGACGGGGTGCATTTTGGATTCACCAAACTAATTTTACAATATCACACTGTCATTGGTTATTGTTATTGTACTAATAATCTGGTTTTTATTATATATTTTTGATTTTTCTTTTTTTATTTTCTCGTATTCATGTTTAATTTAATTTAATTTTAAGTTATCAGACATTACTATTTGATAGCAGATTTAATTTGTTTATTGCAATGTATTTTTTTTCTCAAGAAGACAGTTTGCGGTAAATTTAATATTTACTTTTTATATTAATAAAACTAGTAAAAAATGAAATGCGTGCAATGTCTGTTCTTTAATAACTTTTCTCTAAAAATCACTATGTGATATGAAACAAAATTATAAATTTTTGCTTAGTTTTATAAATTAAAAACAAAAATTTAAGTCGGGTAACAGTAGAGTACTTCGTATTTTGTTCGCTTTGCATGTCAAACTGAAAG